TGGCAAAATGTTAGGAAGAACCACCTTCAGAACACGGCCAAAGAGCCCGAGAACCCCACAACAACCACATAATGAACCTTATAACATGGTGCGTGAGGAATTGTTTCCAGACTGTGAGGCTGTTCAAATCTGCAGGGGGGGCCCAGCAGGTCACAGAGAATGGTTGATCTAAATCTAGCTAGTAGTTCCAACTGAAATAAGCTCACTACACCAGCTTCCCAAGGGAGTCAACACTTATGTATATTCCATAGGCTCGAAAGCTTTTCGTTGGGGCTATCATGTGATTTGGACGATCAAACTTGCATGAGAAAAGAAATCTGCTCGGTCAACTCTCTCGTCATGAAGGTAACTTACCTATGCTTTCCTTTTTGAGATAGTCTCCAATGTTAATTATGTTTAGATCCCCAGGAGAGAACTGCTCCTCCATAACTGGGGGATCTGGTACAGCTTCTTGCTGTGGGCCCTGTTTGAAATTCAGGCTTCGTGAAACCCGCTTGGGTCTGACGCTGGCATCTCCACGAAGGATGCGGTGCAGTTGCTTGTAGAAAGGGCAAGTCACCTTATTGCTCCCTGCCCTGGAATTGTGACCAATCACACGCTTATACTCCAGCCGCATGATTTTGGTCTTGGAACGGCACTCTACGGCAGTACGATGGTGGCCTCGGGTGGTCATCTCCTGGGCAATGTACTCAAAAAAATCAATATTCCGGTGGCTGCTTCGGAGCTGGTCCTGGATCTTCTGCTCTCCCCAGATATCCAGTAGATCCAAGGTCTCCTTGTGTCGCCATGAAACGCCACGGCCCTTGCGGCCGTTGATGGTTCCTGTCCCTTCACTTTCAGTCATCTGTTAAAGTAGAGTCAAAAAAGGGATCAATATCCAAATGAAATTGATTGAAATCACAATTTAAATTTTAAAAATCATTTTGATGTAAATCTGCCAAAAGAAATCTGATTTAAATTTAAATCAAATCCACTCTGACGCAAATCCAATAATATACAGTAGGAGGATCCCCCATATCTACGGGATTGGTATCCATGGTTTCACTTATCTGCAGCCTGAAAATATTTAAAATACTAAAAGAAAAAAAAACATATATTATTTCCGTGATGGACAGCCTGAAACAGGCTACTAGAAGGAACCAAAGGCCATCCTATGTATAGGGTTTGCTATTATCCTCGGTTTTTGGCATCCACGGGGGGGCCCTTGGAACTGATGCCCTGCGGATATGGGGGTCTTGCTGTATTTTCTTTAAAAATGTTTCTGGCGATTACGGTCTCTGGACAAGAAGTGACAGAAGTTTGGCCATGATGTCACAGCAGAGTCAGCATGACTCAAATGATAGGAGGTGTGAGAAAGAGTTTAGTTCTCACTACTGCAACACCTTATACATTTAAACATGATGTTGCAGATTTGGGAGAGAGTGGGCTTGTAAAGACATCCATGAATAAGGCACTAGAGGTGTATTTTCCCTCTCAACAGAAATGTGTGTTTCGTTCTATTTCTATCCCTGATGCAAAGACCTATTTGAGAATAGAAGAGGTATGAGAATAAAAACAAAAAGCCATAGCAAGCATTTTTTAATAGTCATAGAATCATATTATAGAATCGTTGTAGGGTTGGAAGGGACCTTGTAGGTCTTCTAGTCCAACTCCCTGCCCATATCATCATACCATCCCAGACAGATGGCTGTCTAATCTTTTCCTGAAAACCTTCAGGAAATTCCTCTTAATTTCCAGGTTGGATCTCCCTCTGACAAGTTTCCACCCATTGGTTCTTGTCCTACCCTCAGGCGCAGTGGAGAATAAATGGATGCCCTCTTCCCTGTGGCAACCCTTCAGATATTGGAAGCCAGCTATCATGTCTCCCCTCAATCTTCTCTTTGTTAAGCTAAACATACCTAGGTTCAAGAGATTCTGGAAGCTAAAATACAGAACATCTGAAGAACCAAAATTTGAGAATCCATGTGGAGTATGGAGTCAGATGTCCAGGCCAACAGCTCTCTCTCTCTCTCTGTAGGTCGAAGCCAACGATAACTAATACCCTTTAGAAGCTCTTTTGAACAATTCTTAGATGGTGATCACACACATTCTTCAAATCTTTGCATGGAGTGTCTCCAACAGATTGCTCTGAAAAGGCTGCCCTTGGATACATTACTTGGCTCGACAGAAATATTTCGGATACTTAAACTGAACAAGTCAGGTTTCCAGCCCATATGGACTTTTGGCTCTCCAGATGTTTTGGTCTACAAATCTCAATTCCAGTCAATGCTGAGTAGGTCTAATGGGAGTGATACACAGAAATATATAGTAACATTCTCCTTCTTGGTGTCAACAGTTGATTTAGTCATATATAATTGGGTGGTGATGAGAACGGTTGGCATTCTAAATAGCAGCCTTTCCAGTTTGGTGCCTTGCAGATGTTGGACTACAACTTCTGTAAAGATTTGGAGAATACTATCAAGTTATGTTCTGGAAATGGTTCTTCTAAATGCAGATCATACAATCAGAAGCTCCTACCTTACTCTCTTGGGATGTCTCATCCACAGGAAATTCGCCATCAGCCCGATGCTCCCCGGATTTCTCATATCCCAAGGCAACGGGATCTTCCTCTTCCTTGCACACAGTTTTCTCTTCTGCTCTTTCTTCTTCCTCCAGTTTGACAATGTTAATGTTTGCCAGTGACCGGTTCGGCTTGAAGTTCCTTTCTCAAACTACTCCTTTGCAGTGAGGGCAGGAAAACTCTGTATCAGAGTCCGGCCAGTACTGGGTGAGGCAGGCTTGGCAGAAGCAGTGCCCACAGCCTACAAGAATCACCAGGTCTGTGAAATATTCTAAGCAGATGGAACAGATCACTTCACCAGAGATCTCCTTGATGGCAGTTCCAGATACCATGGGGGCTTCTTCCTGAAGCAGAACAGCTACAAACTTGATTTTTTTAAAATCCCCAGTTTCAAAAAGCAAGGTGGTGATTCTTTTCTAGAACTGCCCCAGCATAAGGTAGGACCTACGACGAGCTGGAATCAAAAGCATGAGAAAAATCAGAGCCAAACTAATTGTGACACCACTCTCAAAGTTAACAACCACCTGAGTGTGTGTTTTCAGGACAGCGGTTCCACACAATATCTTAATTAGCGTTTATAGGACTCCAGGCTTTAAAGAGAAGAAATACCAGGGGTAAGGCATGGATGTGGATCTAGACACTGGCAGGAGGGTGGTTGCAATAACTCTACAAGCCCCGAAGTGCAGTGGTTAAATTGCAGTACTGCAGCCCAAACTCTGTTCACGACCCAGATTCAATCCCAGGTTGCTGACTCAAGGTCCACCCAGGCTTTCATCCTTCTGAGGTTGGTAAATTAAGTACCCAGCTTGTGGGGAGTGGGGGCAAAGTATAGCCTCCATAATTAAATTGAAAATCACCCAGAAAGTGCTTTAAGCACTATGGGGCAGCATATGAGCAAGATGCTTTCCTTCACCCCCAATCCAGACCCACATGTTAGTTAGTGAGAGAGAGAGAGAAGCAGCTGTGTGAATGATGTCACATTTAGTTTGGTTCTAAATGAGCAATTACAAGGTCCTATTTGCACCTGTTTTTAAATTCAAAAAGTGTGCACCTGCAACAACCTATCTTGTTTGGTGAGAGCTGGCTCGTCTGAATGTTCTGCTACTTATTTAATGTAGGATTTTTAAACTAGCCAATAGGCAGATTTTACTCTATAATCTGCTAAGAATATATACCATATAGTCCATATATACCATATATACCATTTTAAAATAACAACTAGGGTAAAACTAGCAGCATTTAAAAATATATATATTAAAACCAGTGCCAGAATAAAAGTGGCCCAGAAGATTAAAAGTTCCAAAAAGTGCTCAATTGAGGTGGTTAGAAAAGACATTTCAGATAGGGTATCCTTTCCAGCTCTGCTTTGAGCGACACTGACCAGAAATGTATACAAGATTTTGTAATTTGTTCGGCTTTGAGCGACACTGACCAGAAATGTATACAAGATAACAGTACAAGCATAGAGGCACTTGCTTTTCCTTTGAAAGAAAGTCACCTATTGGCATTATCTGTATTGACTCGCACATATGCAAGTCGAGTAAAGGAAGAGGTACAGCATAAACACTCCCAAGAAACAAGCAGGTTTCTTGTAGGGTGGCAACGCTTCTAGATGCCACTTGCGACACTGACCAGAAATGTATACAAGATAACAGTACAAGCATAGAGGCACTTGCTTTTCCTTTGAAAGAAAGTCACCTATTGGCATTATCTGTATTGACTCGCACATATGCAAGTCGAGTAAAGGAAGAGGTACAGCATAAACACTCCCAAGAAACAAGCAGGTTTCTTGTAGGGTGGCAACGCTTCTAGATGCCACTTTCTTCAGAGGCTTCCCACTTTTCTTTCTTATAGCCGCTGTTTGTTGTGGTTGTGCCTTCTGTCTCATAAGACACCCCCCCTCCATTTTCATGACTCGCACATATGCAAGTCGAGTAAAGGAAGAGGTACAGCATAAACACTCCCAAGAAACAAGCAGGTTTCTTGTAGGGTGGCAACGCTTCTAGATGCCACTTTCTTCAGAGGCTTCCCACTTTTCTTTCTTATAGCCGCTGTTTGTTGTGGTTGTGCCTTCAGTCTCCATTTTCAGGTGGCTACTTTGCCTTCTGTATTAATTCCTATGTTTCACCAGGATACCAAGTTACTGATGTCACTTAATTCCTGTTAAGCTGCCAAGATAGTTCAGTGGTTTAGGTCTCTGGCTCTGGAACCAGAGGTTGGGAGTTTGATTCCCCCACTGGGCCTCCTATGAGTGGAGCCGGCAAGCCACACAGTCCTAGGATGCCCCCCCAGAAGAAAGGAATAATAAGCCCCTTCTGAGTATTCTCTATCCTGAGAATAGGTCAAAATTTACACGATTATTATTAATTCCTGTTTGCACCAGTAACTAACCTTACACAGGCATAGACAAAGTGGTCCTAGACTGTACCTTCCATTATCCCCAATCAGTATAACCACTGGTGAGGGATAATGTGAGTTGGACTCCCAGCAACATCTGGACAGCCCTCCAGTTGCCCACCTTGGTCAACAGAGAGCACAGAATGTTATAGTTTTAGAGCATCCAAGCCACTTTGATTGCCTCAATCTGAGTGTGTGTTTATGTCGTCTATTGCTGTTTACAAACACACACCTACCTCTTGCAGCTGCTAATTGTGACCAATTGATGAGGTGCCAGGATATAGCTCATATGCACAGAGTGTGACCAGGTATGCCAAGATATGCCCCTCCAACCTCAATTATCTGTGACAAATTACCCAAACCTTAAGTGCACACCAATAAGATTCTAACCTATATTATATATTTACACACCCTGGATGCTCTCCAGATGTTGCTGGGGTCCAACTCATATTATCTCTCACTAGTGGTTCTCTGTTCTCCTTGGTTTCATTTCGTTTTGTCAAAACAGCTCTCAGTCTTCCAAATAAGCTATTTGCCTGTTACTTCCCCAATGAAGAACTTATTTGTCAGAGCTAGTAAGGTAATCGTCAGTCCCGCCGATTTCTTTAAATGCCCCTTCCCCATTGTCCAATCCTCCTCTTCCAGACCCTTGCCGACAGCAATATCAAGCCCTGCATACATCCTGGAAAATCAGTGACACCCTTTCGTGCTCCAGTTAGACTTTTTCCCAAGTGGAATTTGACAGCTTTTAAAAACCAAAGCAGAACCCTGTTCTCTGTGAATTTACCGGCATGCGCAAACCATCTTTCCTTTTCAGTCACCACCAAATATTCAAAGTCCCACAGACTCCACTTTCCAATGGAAGTGGCAACATGGTTCCCTTCCAGCTGTTTTCGATCAGAACAGGGTGTGCAGTGAAACAGGCCTTTTCAAAACACAAAAAAGAGCAACTTTCACTCTCTTCTGTGGGAGATGCAGAAATGTCGCATGCAGAACATTTTGGGGATCCTGTTAAACCCCGTTAGCTAATATTGGGCAGCGGGAGGAATCTAAAAATGCACAACAAACACCCTTAAACAAGAACACCCACAACCCCCATAAGTCTCAGCCTGTACAGTCAAGTATCAGGCATTATGGCACCTGTTGCTCAAAACATCTGGAAGGCATCAGAGTGACTATTCTTAAAGAGAGCTAACAAGGACATAAACAGGAGTGGGGCATTTGTGTGTGTGTGTGTCTGTGTGTGCACGCGTGCATGCTTGAGCCCACGCAAAGGGTCTTAAAAGTTCCTTCTGCCTAAATGAGCCCCTAAGTGGGTCCAATTGTATTGAAGTTAAAAAGTATCCTTCCAGAAATGGAGCGAGATTGCAGCAGTTTGGTTCCCAGTGCAGAACTTGGACATCTCAGGCTGGAATCCTCAGAAATTTCCTCTTAGCAAAGAGTCCAAGCCCTGGAAAAATTTTAGTCTCTTGCAGGAAAAAAAACGCACACACAGAGAGAGAAAGCAAAGAACAGCCTTGGGCGGACCTGCTAGGGTAATCTGACAGAAGTTAGGTTCCTCCCTTACTCCCAGGAAAGTGAGTCTGGGATCGCAGCCGAAATCCAGGCAGCCCACTGGAGGCTCTACTCACCTCCTCCTTCACAAAACCAAGCCTAGGGGAAGCCTCAAGAAAAACAAAACACATGCTTTGCTTGCTTGTTGCCCGCCTGGCTTTGCAGCCAGAAAGCGTTTTATGGCGGAGCTGCTTCCAGATGAGGCCTTTTTTAAAAATTGTGCCACCGTCCTGTCTCTTGCAGGCAGGCCATTCTCGACAGCCAGGGCCCTGATCGGCTCCATCTTCCCGTTTGCAAGGGGTCCCCCTTCCTCCCGTGGAGTTCCCCCCCCCAAGGCTTCCTCCTCCGTCCCTCTTTCCTCACCCCCCCGCAAAGAAAACAAACAAAAAAATGCGTTCAGGAAAAAGAAAAAACGCAACAACTCCGCGATGCCTTCGAGTTTATAACGCCAGATGCTTCCGATCTGTAACGGAGAGTTAAATAGCCTCTCGCCTCTCTCTCTCCCCTCCCGAAACCCAGATCTCTTGCGCACACATAAGACCCGCTCTTCCGCAAGACAAAGGATGCTTCCAGACAGCGGGCGCCCCTTCGCGCAACCCAGTGCGAGGCCATTGCGCCTTAAGGACGCGTCCACATGCACACGCTCCTTCCTGGTACCCGGGCCAAGGCGATGGCGCAGCCATTGCGGCTTTGCCTCCTTAACACATGTTGTGTTTTTAAAGTACAGTATTACTATTGTTTTCGGAATGGAAAATGATGGAAGGCGCGCAGGGTGGGAGGATCAAGAAAAAACGGGAGCGTCACTAATGGGAAGCGGAGGAGTCTGCTATTGCGCCCCCCCCCGCCCCAAAAGCCAAAATCCGCGATCGAAACAGACGATCGCAGGGAAACTTTTTTTTTGAGAAATCCTTTAACATGGGGGGGGGAATGTATGGGGAGGGAGGGAAGACGGAAATAGCGAGGGAAAACAGCGGGAGGATCGCACACGGAAAGCGATGGTATCTGCACACGCAAGCGCACACATGTGAACGAGACCTGGGATCGCAACAAAAGCCTCAACCAGGAAACTTCCCCCGATCTTTCTTCTTTTTTTGTTTCGAACGAAATAAAAGGCAGAAGAAAACAGGAAACGAGACCAAGCGGACTTAGTGGGAGAGAAAGGCAGCGATAATACGTTTCTCTCGCGTACCAGGCGGGACGATTTCACGATTAACGTCTTCTCTGGAAGCAGCCACATATAAAAGAGGGAGGCTGGCTCACACCCTCCCTCCTACAACATCAACACCCCCGTCCAAAAAAAATAATTAATTAATTAAAAAAGCGGGAGAAAAACGAATAGAACATATTAAAATGATAAAGCCACAAAAAAAAATATGTCCCTTGCGTCCCGTCACAAATAAACACCGCGCGATGGGGGACAGGGGTTCAAAGGCAGAAAAGGAAAATGTAACTTATCGCACACTAACTTCTTTCCTGTTTGACCATAAACAAACAAATAAATAAACAAACCAGCGTGGGAGCGATACCCCACTCCACTTCCGGAGATATCAAACCAGTACCTGCTCAGTGAGTGGTGTGTAGGCAGGACGGCTTGCGATCTAGCCCCTTGATGACCAGCTGGGGCTTCCGCTGGGGCTACACCAGAACAATCATCAAAGGGAAATCGCACGTGAGTCGCGCTAAACATTCGGAAGCGCCTTGCCCGTGATTGGTCAGGACGCCTCCCGTTGGCTCTCTCCGCAACGTTCCAAAAGCTTCCCCGCCCAATCAGGAAGGGGAGAAGGTTTAATACATTTCCCTTTTCTTTTCCAAATACTATACTGTATTGGCCTGCGGGAGGCAAAAAAAAAGCTTTGGCAGTTTCACGGGAGTGGCCGAACGTGTGGATCGGAGATGGGGGGAGCGGCGGCATTCTCAAGTCTGGAGTTCTCCTCCCTAGACATTTTTTTCCTTAGTTCACGTTGGCAAGATTTGGTGCGGTGAATCCCTGCTTAAATGTTTTTGGTTTTTTTTGGAAAGTGCGATCTATTTTAACTTTCACTCGAGCGATCCTTCCGCTGGTTCCTTCTGGTTTCCGCAAATCTTGAGATTTTTCTGCAAATCTTGATCAGTGGTGATCATGCTTCGAGTCCATGCAGCGCAGCGTTTATCCGGTTTTCTCGCGAGTAAGCTTGCCCGGCTGACTCCCGAGGAAGGAGGTCTGCATCGGGAGGAAAAATGGAGCGAAGGCTGGAAGGGCAGAAGAGAGGTACTTACTTTCCCCGTCTCTTCTGCTGAGGCTACCTTGCCTCGTGGGGAACAATCCATGGAGTCAACGTAGCTCCCTTCCGTGTTTTTTTCTCGCGGCCGTCATTCAGGGGACTGGGGTGATCGACGTAAATGGCATGACTTTGAACAGCAAACTCCTGCAAGCTACGAAGTTAACGTAGACATGATCTGTTGTCACACAACTGATTGCATAACAAATAATGCCTACGATTTCTTAACTTGCAGCAATTCACTGCCAAATGTTACAGTGGTGACTCGCTTAGCGAGTGCACCGTATAGCGATGTTTCCATATAGCGATCCCTTTTTCAGGATCACTATATGGAAACGTACCCGATCTTCGCAATGGGGAAAACCCGCATTGCGAAGATTGGGTATTGCGGCGGCCATTTAGCGACGGCGCGAAAATGGCTGCCGGCAAGGGGAATCCTCGCTGAACGGGTAAGTAAGCAAGGTATTGGAAGTTTAATGCGTTTCAATACCTTTTCCCTACCCGTTTAGCGACGATTCCGCATAGCGAGGGTTAATCCGGAACGGATTAACCTCGCTATGCGGGGCACCACTGTACTTCGTTTGAGTTTCAGCAGAAACTGGATTTTGGAACAAAATAAATGTATAGTGACTTCCAGTGTGCCAAAGCAAGCGATCCAAAGCGATGTGGCTGTGTTAATCCTGGAGAATGCAGTGAAGTCCAAAACTTGCAGGCAGTCGATTCCTTCCTTTGGAGGAAGTGAATTTCCACAAGTAGATGCAGAACTTTTAATACTCCAGGACTCCTCAGTCTAGGTCATTCAAAAATCATAGTGCAAGACAAGGGGAAGAAGTGTGCAAGCCCCAGAATTTGGCCGAGGGTGTATAAAAATCAACAACTGTTTTAAATCTACTGTAATTGTTTTAAGTCAAACTTAAGCTGATTTCAATCATGATTTGAATTTTAAAATTAAATCAAGATGATTTTTTAAAAAAATTAGATTGTGCTTTGGCCAGAAGTTGTAGCCATGAGCTCTAAAATTAAATTTTTGCCATTAAGGTTTCACTTCAAGGATAATGCTGTAGCTTCTTCCAAACATTGTCCATGACTTTTCCCCTCTCACCTTTCCAATTATATCCTTTCAGAGTAACAGGAGGAAAAACACCATAATTCACACGTCTTCCCTCAAGATTTGCAGACACCAGAGAAATGACCCCCTCCCCCCTCAGACTCTACTATGTTTGGCATTTCTTCAAAGGCTGATAACATTTTGTACACTGACAGAGCTTTTCTCCCATTTATGAGAGGCCTTTCCTCTCTTATAGTGTTATGTCCAGCTTAAAGCTTAAAACAGAAAATGGACTTTTTGTAGAAACACAGGAATTTAATTCTGGCATCATCCTAATGAGACTTCAAAGTATTCCAGTACATGGTTTTATTTAAATCCAGATCTATCCTGCTCATAGTTCAATGGATTAGGCCAGAGCTTTTCTCCCATTTATGAGAGGCCTTTCCTCTCTTATAGTGTTATGTCCAGCTTAAAGCTTAAAACAGAAAATGGACTTTTTGTAGAAACACAGGAATTTAATTCTGGCATCATCCTAATGAGACTTCAAAGTATTCCAGTACATGGTTTTATTTAAATCCAGATCTATCCTGCTCATAGTTCAATGGATTAGGCATCCGGCTGTCCTAATGAGACTTCAAAGTATTCCAGTACGTGGTTTTATTTAAATCCAGATCTCTCCTGCTCATAGTTCAATGGATTAGGTATCCGGCTGTGGACCCAGAGGCTGAGAGTTTGATTCTCCATTGTGCCTCTTGGGAGAACAGCCAGCCTGTGTGGCCCTGGGCAAGCTGCACAGTCCCGGGGTGCCCCCAGAAGGGAACAACAGTCCCGGGGCGCCCCCAGAAGAAGGGAACACTAAACCACTTCTGAGAATTCCCTACCTGGAAAAAACTGAAAAAGACACCATAAATCAGAATTCATTTGATGGCACATGGTTATTACCTCCTTGATGATCCATAGGGGTCACTTCCAGTTCTAAGGTGGTGGTGGTAGTTATGATTAAATTATCCTGCTCATATATGAGCCAGTGTCTGCCTGTGTGTATGTGTGTGCCCATGCATATGTCCTGATTTCTAAGGGAGAGATATGGTGGATTTCTAGTTGTTGTTTATAGAATAAGAGAAGCTGGAAACCCACAGCTAGACCATAAAACCTTTGGTTTAAAAATGCCAATGAAGGAGATTCTGTTACTTATCTCATTGTCAATCTGACTATGGAGCTGCAGAAAACAAGCTTCATCTTCTATGTTACAGGTTTTAAAACAGTTGGAGATGGTTGTCCTATCGCCTATTGGCCAGCTGTTTTCAGGCTGGACCAGGCTTTGAAGCTCCCTCTCTCTCTTGCTGCTGCTGCATATACTGTTCACTCATCTTCAGCTGCTGATCTACTAAGAACGAAAATATGGTGGCAGGTTAAAGAGTAACCGCTTTATTTCAGTGCAAGCTTTGTTTGTGGATACAGTCTACAGTGCATAATAGTTAAGCCACAAAATTAGTCCTCACGTCCGCATCTTTGGAATACTAGATACAGTGGTGCTTCACTTAACGATGACAATTGGTTCCCAAAAAATCGCTGTTAAGCTATTTCATCGCTAAGCGAAACACGGTTTCCCGTAGAAATGCATTGAAAACCAGATAATCCGTTCCAATGGGAACGGATTGCCATCCTTAAGCGAAAATCGCCATATGAAACATCGCTAAGCGAAACATGGTTCCCCAATTGAAATGCATTGAAACCTATTCAATGTATCTCAATGGGGGGAAAATTACAACAAATTTAAAAAGAGTCGGAACAAAGTCAAATTAGTTTAACAATGGGTTTATTAAGTGCACTTATGATTTCAAGCATTCGAAAGGTTTTTTAACATTTTTAAACATTTAAAAAACAGCCAACATGAGGCTGTCAAAACCATCGTTAAGCGAAACAGGGGGACCCAAACTGTCATCGCTATGTGAAGCATGGTCCCAAACATTGCCATGCGAAAATCGCCCACAGGAACCATCATTAAACACAGCACAAGATCGCTCCAAAAGTCATCGCTAAGCGATTTCATCGTTAAACGAAGCAATCGCTAAGTGAGGCACCACTGTATTTATCCTCCAGGAGTACCCTACAGGCCTTGGAACTCCTTGAGGGTTTCCCAGCTCTCTGCAGCAAATCTGAGGCTGCAAAAGGCTGGTAAACCCTTTCCTTGTGGGAAATTCTGTTGGTGGAGTATCTTCTGTTGGATTCTGTCCCATTGGTCCATAAGGATTCTGGATACAGGAGCATATCCTTTTGTGCTAAAAAGAAGCTATTTATTACTCGGCAGAAATGACGGCAGCTGAATTGTAACAGATCTAAAGGGTGCAAGGTTGAGGAAGGTTGCAGAAATCCACCAGAAAGCTTCCATGTAATATTTTCAGTGAGGCTCTGGAAATTAGTCTTGTCCACTGCAAGTGGGCAACATTTAAAGGAGGCCATATATCAATAGAAGAAATTGGACTTTCCTCCTGGCATGTGTTTGTTCTACACGTTTCTTTCTTAGAAGTCAAACAAGAAATACTCTCAGTGCATCCATAAGAGCGAAGTGGCTTTCCTTGATCTTGTTGCTTGTCCAGCTATGAGCACTGCCAACTGCTCTGAGCGTAGGGTGATGGGCACCTTCTCCCCAGTGTGGATATCCATGGGTTCCAGGCTGGAAGGCTAAGAAAACTCCAACTTTATTGGGAGTGAGGCAGGAGTTACAAATTCAGTTCCTTCTCCAACCTTCTCCCCCTGAATGCTATCTTCGGAGGTGGGGGGGGGCTCAACTTCTCTTCACTTGCCCCCTTTGTAATCCCAGTCTCAAACTGACACACACACACACACCCTGCTCATGCCAATACTTTTTCTTATCGAGACTTCCTGGCCTACGAAGAGCTGTTGCATTCTGTTCAAGACAGCGAGCAGCCTACGGAAACATAGGGACCTGATCTACACCATCACCTTCATGTGCAAATAAAGGGCACCGATCCTCCCCTAGTTTTAGGGCAGGGAAGGCACCTTGAGAAACCCAGTGGCCAATTTTGGTGCCACCAGGGGTCACACCAGGTCTGAAAAGGTGCAGAAATCCTGAAAAACCCAAACTGAATGTTGCTGGAAGGCCACTTCTTTCATTTTTGTAGATCTCTCTCTCTCTGTGCAAGTTTTGAAGTGTTAGTAGTTGGGAGGACCCTGTTGTAGTGCAAAACCACCACTCCGGGATGAATTCTTTCAGAGTTTTTGGTGGGGGAGCATCCAGGGACTTAAAAGACAGCCTTGGGGTGGGGTGGGGGCTGTGCATGCAGCTCATGGGCCCCACTTTGCTCACTCCTTTCCTAAGACAGTGGAAGCACTGGAGGTTTTCATCAAGTCTCAGCAGGTTAACTGAACGCCCCACCCCACCCAAAAATAGGGATAAACCTTCTCCCCATCAAATGAGGCTGAAGGGAAAGTAAAAATCAAGTGATCTGTATCAGCATCGAAAAATTCCACACGGCCATCTTCATAGTCCAGGCTTACTCGGATCTTCCTGAGCTCCTGTCTCAAGGTCAAGGGAGTGGGTTCGGGAGAAGCAAAAGCCGAGAGTTGACAAGATGTGAAGGGATAACTTGTCTTCCCTATAGCCCAGATGCCTTCATTAGGACTGGGGCTGATTCTTCCCTTCCTCAGGCCGGACTCCCTTGTGATGCCCACGGCCCACATGATCCATCCTCTCTCCTCTACCTCCACTTCTGGGTCCACCCGAACCTCCCACCATCGTCTTCCTGAGCAAAATCCCTCGCAGCCCAACACGCACGGCATGACATCAAACCTCTCAGGGTTGTCGGGCAGGTTTTGACGTATGATTTCCCATCTCGCCTTCTTCTGATTCTCAGACAAAATAAGCCGGGGATTTGCTGTTTTGGGATCCAGAGTCACTTTCACTGAAGGAGAAACACACAAATATTTATTTATTTATTTATTTATTTATTTATAATTAATTATTATTAATTAATTATATAATTAATTAATATGCTGCC